ATTATTTTAGATTCATTTTGCGCATCTTTTACACAAACACTCGATTTTGTTTGTACACTTTCCGCAAACAACCTTTTCACATACATTACATTATTGCTCGTGTTTCTTTTACGCAAGTGTTGCGTTCTTCCGAAGTACTAGGTGACGACGGGTGATTATCATCTATGTTTTTGTATTTTTCTTCAATTGAAATAGAAAGTGCTTTCTGGATAATTTTGATCCAGTACACTCTCTGTATAAGATCCATGCGTTTATTGCTGCTTAATATAAAATGTTAAAGCACACCTGGAGAGGTCATCGAAAAGATGCTGCTTTGGTGGTATATTTGCGAGTCATTTGGTCTACTATGTCGACTCCAAACTTTGTCTGCTTGTAATATGCTGCTATTTCTGGGGTATGTTGTTCATTGTCTTTTATTGTCATAAAAGTATGCTTAGTACTTAGTAACAGCGCCTGTAGATTTCACTTACTTTTATATATAGCGGATATACCATTTTCCTTATTTATCACGTTCTGAAGAATACAACTTCATTTTAACTTCCTTGATTTTTGCTGCCTTTGGAAGTTTTCTCTTGCGAATTTGCTTCATACGCTCCTCTAGCATGCCAAGTGCTTCTTCTTCAGTGCAACTCTTTATATATTCTGTCATGTTTTTGGTTATAATTCAATGAAAAGCACTGCTTACGTTACATTTCGTCACATTTCGTTTGCGTTTCGTTTCGCCATTAGGCGCAGCGATATCTTTGAAGATTTTGTGGATAGGATATCGACCGCTAATTCCGTACCACATCCGAAGTTTGGAACAATCTCGTAATACATACGTCATTCTCAGATTCGGCATCGGATAGAATACGCATCGTTTTTCTGCGAAGACGTAATTTCTATTGATAATCTTTTTTCAGTGATGATTTCCCTGCTTGCATACTTTCATCAGATACCAAAACCAATATTTTATTTTTTAATACTCGAATCAAGCAACTAAGACCTCTTCGCGCTGTGGCTTCAATTGACATTCTGCGTTTCGTTCTTTTCACTACTGTTTACTGCTTGTTTCACTTGAGGTAAAGATTTCCGATAACGGAGATAATGGATCGAAGTATTGTCAGTACATTCCTGTTTATTTATTATTGTTGTAATATTTGTATGCGTACAACTAATTTATAAAAAATGTTGTCTACATTACCATCGCGTCAAATTGAATTGACGTATATCTGTAGAGATAGGTATACCACATGCAGAATTTCAATATTTCAACACTTTTGAAGAAAATGGATTTCAGTATATATTTACATCGCTCAATGGATAAATGATAAAAGTAGAGGAAAGCCAATAGGCAATATTTTAAATTATTTGCTTTCTTTAAGATGCATGGATCGCAGTTTCAAACTTAACCAAAAGGCGTGAACATAAATGTTCCATAGGTGTTTATACCATTCTGGAAGAATTTTGCTACAACCAGCAAATAATTATATCTTCGAAGCAAACAAGCGAAAATAAGTTCATTTTATCATAAAATTATTTATAAAAATAAACTAACTAATTGTTAACTTTATTGTAAACTAGTAAACATTCCTTTTAACATTTATTACTTTTCATTATTAATAATTAATTTCATTAAAACTTTCCCATTTTGCACTTCCAAGCCGTATAAACTGCCGTCTTTGATTTCGTTATTTAAGACTTCATCAGTTACGGCCACATGTACTCCCGAGGGCCCCGAAATGTAAATAAAAGTTTTATTATTTACATCGTTGAAAATATTTGAGCCGCTTCCCGAATACTTTGAATGCATATTCCACGTATTAAAACTGCCAGCATTTGTTTCCAGTAGGCCATTACCATTCATCGTAGTAGTGCTCTTGGCCGTTACAATATCATAAAAACCGGGCAATTTAAAGAGTTTTTGCAATAATTCTTTTGCTGTATTTGTAATTAAATATATGGCATTATAACTGTTGCCATCCAAGCTGACGTAAATTGTTAATCGTGGAGAAATGGTTCTGCAAGGAATTGAAAGAAATAATTAGGCCAATATAATAATAAAACGAACATCTATATTTGCAAGTGGGGCCCCGTCCCACTATTGAATGTCTTATTCTATAATTATTCATATAACGATTTTTCAAAATAAATCGTTATGTGAAAAGTGGTCGAATAAATTGTCCGACCGGAACAGTTTTCAATTGCGTTCAACTTTAAGCAAATGTATCAAATTTCATCATAATATCAGAAAAATTGTAGGCTGTAAGTTGAACATAAGAAATGAAGAGGGGCCGATGGACAATCATGCTAAAATCAACTCAGAAAGTGATACTGAGACGACTGCTATAGTAAAGAGTGAGTCTCAAGTTCTTCTGGGTGTTGCATAAATCCACGCAAACTTAATAAGCACTTGCATCATGCAGATGATGTAAATTAATACAACTAAGAATTGATTGCAAGTCCAAGATACCCAATTACATTTACCCCTGGAATTATGTGCTACTCTTTTTGCGCTATTTCGCTTATGAAATATGTCGGTTTGATTCGGCGTGGCTTCGGTCTTACCCGATATTGAAGGTACCACTTGGCGTAATACAAATCTGTACGATAAATTACCGAGAATTATACCGCGTTTCCGCATAAAGACATGGTTTCCATGGGAGCCCTTGGAATGGGCTTCAGAATACTTGTCGATATCGAAGCTTGTCCGTTTTTCTGTTTCTATGATATCTTATGATGCATTGTTCCGTTCAGTCTACAAGTTGGACGAACCGTGATCCAAATGGATTGGATCGTACTGTTCTGAAGATCTTCCCCTCTTTTGAAAAAAAATTTATATGAAAAAAATTTACAATTTTGAAAATTTCTCAACAATCATCGCTGATTAATAATACGAATGCAGTAATTTTTTGAATCCTATCGTCTGTAATCGTTCTTATGCAAAGTGGATAAAACAGTTTAATCGCGTAAATCGACTTTTTACACCCCAGCCTTTGCACGGCAACAATATTCAATTATTATGACAAGAGTGGGTGGAGAGCAACACGATCGTTGCTCAGAAAATTAAGTCTTAAAGTTAAATATTGTTCATAGTTGACATATCGTACCAGATGAAGGCTCTTTTTAGGCCCTTGCACGGAAATAGGGGGTACTAGGGTATTTAATAGTCATTCTTGCCCAACCGTATCGTTTTATTTTTTTTGTCTTAATATTAGTACAACTCAATTTTTAAGGTTAGGTTACGTGCAGAATATGTTTTCCAAGAAGCACTTACTTCGCTCGTAATACGTTATACATGCGAATGCCATCTGCAAGACCGCATATTTGAATTAAATCATCCTTAGACATCCTTTGAGAAAAGGAAAAAGAAAAGAAATTCTTTCCGCTAATCATAATACATAATAGAAATTGTCACTAACCTCATTATATCGGCTCCTGAAAAATGTGCAAATGTTGAGAGATATGCTGATAAACGATGATCGGTTAACCATTGTATTACTTGAGCCGGGGAAGATTCCGGCATAATATTGATATTATTCTAAAATCATAAAATGCAAACAATAATTAAATAAAAATGAGAAAGGATTTGTTTTTGTAGTGAAAAGGCAACTTACAGAATAATCTTCCATATCGGCAATCATTGGCTGACTGATAACCATATTTGTGTCCATTAATTTCAGATTTGATGAATTTGTAGATGAGACACTATTAATAGCTATAGGACTATTGTTATTCGGATTGGGAGAGGCTCCAGTGTACGGCAGTATTCCATCATATTTAGGCATATGAACAGGTGAGTTTGGCCAAATTTTCATACTATAAATTAAATAATTAATGACAACAAAATGTTTACGCTGAAAAGGTTTCGTTTGTAGTTCTTGCTCAAAAATTTTTATGAAATTAATTGTAACATTATGGCTCATATTACTCCGGGAGAGCGAGCAATAGCTCTTCACATATTTTTGATATTTTTCATTTATTTTTTTATTCCTTCTTCCTCTTTTTGTTCTGGCAGTATATATAAATATGCAATAGACGTCTTTCAAGAGATAGTCTTATAACATACTGGCGAATTTTATAAATTAAATTTGTTTTATTGTCATCGGTAATAAAAACATCATAGTGGATCATGGTTCTCTTTTACCCTACACCCTACAATAACCTGTGCTTATTCATGTAATGACGTTTTAAAATAAATTATTATAAAGGAATTGGCCGAAAAAGTAGGCGGATTCACACCAGATTCAATAACATCAGATCCTCGGGCCAAGATCCGGTCCGTCGATGGACCGAAGTTCATCGAAATATCTCAAAAATGACGGCTGGTAGGTTCAACACGAGAAAACAAAACGGACAGACGGACAGACAGGCTTAGATTGATTCCGAAAGTAATTCTGAATTGATTGGTATAATGAATGATGCGTACATCCGCACAATCGTAATATATCCGTGTACAACAAATAATGTCGGGTTTAAAAAGCAACAGACCTTGTTAGACAGGCTTATAAATAATGAAAGAAACAAAAAGTAGATAAAATATAAGAAAAATAACAAAGGAAGGTTAAAAGATAGCTTCTTTGTCGCTCTTTACTTTCACTAACTTTCGTCGTCTGAATATTGAAAGGACATTTGTGAAATATTGTTCGAGTTTGCATAGCAATTTTGACTTCTTTTTACTATATTGGTTAGTTAAGAATTCATTTCAGTTTCCTTG